ATAAACAGAAAGTACACAAAAGAAAAGATTAATGACGAACTGACGTCAGAAACAGGCTGTGAAGCTTTTTCTTTTCCTTTGGAATAGTTTCTTTTGGCCTACTCTGGAAAAAATTAAAAAAAAAGCAAAAGACCACATTTTTCAGGGTTGGTCTCTCGTTTTCTATTTTATCGCAAGTCGAGAGCTCGTTGTGGATTCCTTTCTTTCGGCCCGACATTATTAATGAATTGAAGAGCCAGACCCGAAAGTAAAGGCGACTTCTCCAGAGTACATTTGGCAGCCGGGATGACCTACGGCGAACGACAGCCTGGTGACGTGGAATCCTAAAAGACGCAAAAATGCATCGATGTTTCGCTAAACTTCGCACTGAAGCCCCTCCCCCCTCCCCCTTTCTCATTCTGGAGGCGGCCACATAACAAACGGCCGCCATCCGCGAGATACTTATCTAAATCTCTTAATGTGGCCTAGCGCATTTCGCATGTATGAAAGGCTTTTAGACGTGCGTACCGTGGTGGCGATTTATGGCTCCCGATGGCAGTTCCCTGTCTGTGGTAGTCCATGATCGTAAGTTTCTTTCCTTAAAATTCAAATTTTCTGAACCCGCTTTCAAAACAGAGTGGACGTCTCCATAATGAGATAAAGAGAATGCGTTTGCCAAAACGACATTAAGTCTGAAGGGTTAGGTGTCCATGGACGAAGTCCAATGAAGGAGGCTGATGACCATGCTGCGAAACGCACCATTACGAAACGATGTCTCCTTATGTACGTGTGGGAACATCTCCTAGAAAAGTGAACAAAAAAATTGGCACCGTATCTGCATGTAATCTGGAAATGTCCTCGAAAGACCATAGTCCTGCGTGTGGAGAGAGTGAACAAAACATTTATTTGATGTTCTGCGCAAGAGAACCGGTGAATGATATTCCGGAGGCGCTGCGTTAGAATGCCTCGATCATGCAGCGGAGGTGAACGAGCGCATCAAGTCACGTCACACGTGAGACATGAGCGCCATCTGGAAGTTTTTTCTTTCGGAAAACAAAGCACGTGGTCCTGAGACAGGCGTGCGCGCCTCGTCTCAGAGATGATAAGGTGTAGAACGCAAGGCGACGGGTAGGTGCCAGCACTGTGTCGTCTTAGCAAAGCGTTGGTGACACTCACTTCTTCGTTTAAGCGTTGCATGGTCAGCGCAGCCGTGATAAACGCTACGGTCCTTAGAATACTTGTGTATGCCCTTTCTAGTAAAAGACGCACATGCAGAATATATACGTATTGTTAAGGTGCCTCAGATAAGCGCAATACTTGCTTTTTATTTGACAATCGCACAAGTATGAACGCTGAATCTTGAGCAACATTGGTGGGTGCTGCGGATGGAGTCGGCCGTTCGGAATATCGGCTAATGCTGTTTAAAGTACGCGAATCACGTTAAGGGCGGACAAACAGACAAATGAACAGACAGACAGACCAAAGGTTTTGCGTCGAAGGTCCCAAAGAAAGACTATCGTCTTTAAAAAAGACAAGCATGCGCAGCCAATTTCTGCTCTTGACTTTACTCCTAACAACAACAGCAGCTGTTGTGCACGAATGCTGGTGCACACACACTGTGCAGTCATGTGCTAACCACACGTACGCGATTAGAATGCGCCAACGCGTGGCTTGTAGACTCGAAATTGCGTAGCTGTCTTTTGAAAGAAGAGATTGGGGATAGGAAGAGGGCAGGCGATGCGCTGACGCGTTCTAGCACGTACGTGTGGTTGGCGCTTTACGTTAAACTAGACACAGCAACTCTGTGGTTGGCTGTCGCCAGGATCACTGCTCATCAGCGAGGAGGCACACGGTGGAGCGCACGCGCCCGTGGATGTCGTCGGGTGGCCGCACAAGTATGTTACTGTGGTACAAGCACACGGCTTCCCTTGCCGTACAGAAATGCAACAAAGCATCGGGTTTTTTATTGCGATATCAATATATGGGTGGTCGCTGGTTTTGCCACCACCGCCACCACCACCGTCATTCGCGTATATGAATATGTATGTATGTATGTATGTATGTATGTATGTATGTATGTATGTATGTATGTATGTATGTATGTATGTATGTATGTATGTATGTATGTATGTATGTATGTATGTATGTATGTATGTATGTATGTATGTATGTATGTATGTATGTATGTATGTATGTATGTATGTATGTATGTATGTATGTATGTATGTATGTTGTATGTATGTATGTATGTATGTATGTATGTATGTATGTATGTATGCGGCGAAGGATGCGCTAGCCGTCTATTTCTGTGGAGCGAACTACGCCTTTCCGGCTGGGGTTGTCTGCACGGGCGCTTATCCCGTGAGCGAACAAGGTGGGGGGGGGGCACTTATGGTTCGCGGCAACGATCAGCGTGGGGCTCATGCCTTAACAGCAGGCGGGAGCTTCTACGGGTTGCTCTCAACAAAAAAAAAAAAACGGTGCCAAAAATGCACCTGTAGGGCCCGTGTTCTCTTACACCAACGTTTTGTAAAGTTACGTGAGATATAATTTAAATGAGATGACTGCCAGCCTCACTTCGTATATCAACGCCGTCACTACGCACGAGCCTTGTTGTGGTCATATACTGTGGCTGCGCTTCTGGAAACTTGGTTGCGTAGCAAGCGCATATTTACTAGAAACAGTGTTGCTCCTAAATATACAAGCCTTGCTTTGTAAAACATTTGAATACGTCGCCCTCGCATTCATTGCTTCGCCCTTTTAGCGAAATTGTGACTTTTTATTGTAATAAAAGTATAAAACATGCCGAACCTTTTGAATAATTCAAACAGCAATCCCGCCATCTTTTATATCAAACCACTTAAAAAAAATTTTTAAAATGAAGCAGTATTTATGGAGCAGTGCGTCATTAAAATGAAACAAATAGGAAAATATATATCGTTCTCGATACCAAACGGTTTTGCCGTTTACTTGGCTCACATGCCTCCATTGAGTACGTTACTGACCAGTTGATCTCTTCAAGGGGACATATTCTAGAATTTTTTGTTTTCTGTTGCTGTCGTCATAGCTATTGTCGTTAAAGTTGTTCTCGTAGATGACGTCATTATTTATAGCTGGCATACGTAGGCACACCTGTGTACTGTCCAGTCCTGTAGAGCGTGCTCTTTCTGTAGGACACTGGAGTTATGTGAAAAAGCCCCACCTAAAGCTTTAGACAATGTGAATTTTTGGGATACGCCTTTGCCTCTTGCACTTATTCGTCATAAGAAACTGAATTTAGCTTCGTTGATATTTACTCCATCCAAATACTGCTAATCCTAATTAACTGCTGGATACATTGAAAGGAAGTATAATAGACGCCGTCTTTGTTCATGTTTTCTATGTTTGCCTTCATTCTTTATTACATTTCAAAGGGAAGGAGTAATTATGCGTATACTTGATTACTTACTTCCCCATTTTTTCTTTCATTCAAGCATCATTTAGTCAATCGAAAGGCTTTCTGAAAATAGGTGTTTAAAATCACGAAAGAAAAAGTTGCGCAAGCACGAGAAGAAAGTTGTTGAGAAAGAAATATCAGATCAAGATGACTGAAATTACGTTAGCGCAGCGATGTCTTGCACGAGAATGATCATTTCACTCTATTGTAATTCAGTGTTATGACATAATTACTGCATTATTATTGAATTAGGTTTAATTCATGATAAATAAACAGAAGAAGTCCCGTGAAAGGTGCACGTGCTCCATTAACCAAGACAAACACGCAGTGCCCACCAGCGTAAGATATACAAAACAAAAAAAACATCTAATGACTGTTTAACGCATCGTAAGTAAAGAAATCTGCCAGTTAAATACAATCACCTCTCCCTTCTGCTTCATGATTCTGAACAAGAAATTTGAATGAAATTCTGAACGAGAACGACAACATTTGCCTTCCCACTAAAAAAAAAAAAGTGCTCACAAAACTGATCTTGTGCGTTGTGTCTTCTCTATATGTTATCGTACGTTTGATTGTGCTGGGCAAGGAATGAAAAGTTCTCGCTTTGTAGGTACGGTGCTATAATGAATAAGTATATGGTATGCGTTGTGGGCCATTTTTGCTTATCCAAATAATCCTAACGTATACTGTTTAAACCAAACATAACTAGGACTTATGTGTTAGACATTGCATTGCGTGGAAATAAATATTACATGATAGCCTTTTTTTTTTTGCTAAAGGTGGATGTCTCACTCTCCCTTGTCTATGTTACAAAGTTGAAGCTATTTACAACGTTAATTTCTAAAAGTTTCACTGATTTTTGACACGATATTCTACGTGGCATGTTCCGTGACATGAGCTTTGATACTCGTTCTTTTTGCATACGCCACCAATTATTTTGATCTTTGAAAAAATTGACAATGAGAAAAGAGCACAAAGAACCGTAAGTGTAGTACAGTCCGTATGGAAGCTCTATTGTCATTTCTTTTTTAAGCTTGCAAAAGGTACGCGAACATGTTTTCTTACAAACAAGCATGACGCGTTTAGATGGAAGTGTTTTTCTGCTTTAAAGTTCTTTGATTGCCAGAACAATTTGACGAAGCTATCTTATTTTTTATTTTAGAATACTCAATGTGGTTTCACGCTTTATGCTCTGGGCACTGTGTTCACACAGCCTATCAAGTGGTGGACATCGTATATTTTTTGGCGCGATGTTACTGGCGTCAGCCATGGTTTGCCCAATCTCAAAAAGTAATTACTCTTATCCATCCGCACCCCCCCCCCCCCTTTATCAATTATTCGCATGTTGCATTTTCTTTAGCTTGCACACACTCTTAACCTATGTGGGCTTAAATATGGGCTATATGCAGGAAAGAAGATAAAAAAAGGTCCGCTTTTTTCGCTAAATCTAGCACCTTATGCGAGACCTGATTGAGAATGTATAAGTATGGTGAAGTCTCTCGTGAAATTCACAGTGCAATGACGACGTGCTTCACGGCACGTTTGACAGATGCAGTGTACTAACACAGGCACCAGTGCATTGCAGGCTCCAAGTACGCCTTGCTGCCGACGGGGGAACTGCTCATCCGAGAGACGGACCAGCAGGACGGCTTCCGCACCTACCGCTGCCAGACACGCCATCGCCTGACCGGCGCCGTGTCGCAGAGCGTGACAGTGGGGCAGCTCATACTGACAGGTGAGGCATCCGGACAGTGCTTGCTCGTCACTCGTTCGAACATTTCGCCGGGTAGTTTGTTAAGCCGAGAGAAAGCAGGTGAAAGGGCTTCTATTCGCTTGCAGTATTCGCAGTCTTGCTCAGACGGAACGAGTCATTGAGAGAAACTGTTAAATGAAATTGATATCTCAATGCATTACTAGTAGCCCTTTGTTAACATTTGAAAATCAGGAACCGAATCAACAGAACTTTTTGTTCGTAAGATCATTTTCCCGTTCGTCAACTCACGTCGCTAACCATATGTCTTAATTCGTGATTGGCCGAAACGTTTTGGACATATTTAGCATAAAACGTTTTTGTGAAGACGTGTCAATGCACTCAAGGTGATTTGGGAAAAAAACACGCTCGAAGTGTTCCTCTGCGGCCATCCTCAGCATAAGAATACGCTCAACGTGTTAGGGAGCTCTGTATTTCACCGTATTAAATAATACGAGCCCTGTTTTATGAGAGCCCTCAGTTCGTGCGGTGTTACATCAATCCGACGGTGTTTTTTAAAACCTGTGTGTACGGTGGCTTATGAATTATTAAGCCATCAGCCAGTTCATTTCGAACTCACTGTAACTTACCACCTAAAAATAACTGGTTAGGCTGGCAATGAGCTATTGTCGTGGAGGCTACTTAAGTCACAAATACGAGGAGATTAGTCAAAACTAATAAAAGTAAGCGTGATACTAGATAAACCCCAGAGCCTGACTTTTTTTTACGACGTCATTTTGAGCGCCCCTCTTAAAAACCCGGTCATTTTAGCACGGTGTCGTCTTGGCCCTCGTCGTAGGCATTCTGTATCGCACGCTTCCAGCCACGTGACACTTTTCTTGCCATCGAATGGAGTGGTCTTTTATTTTAAATATAATACGCGTAGATCAGATCCGCCTATAAACGTATGTTTTGGAGAAGAGTTATTGGCACAGTCATTTTCATTTTTGAGCCGAAGCTTCGCTCAACACCAGCCAAGACAAGCCTCAGAGACACATATACCATTATTACCAGCGCTTCAACGAGGCACCATAAGAAACTCGTAAAGACGGTGGCACCAGATTTCCCTCTAGGTATTTTTGTAAGAAATTCCATGGTTGTGGAGCTCAGCCTGAGTCCGAGTCTTCCGAAAGTGAGGCTTTACCATACACTTGCTAGCGCTTAGTTGCTGATTTCCGCTATCGTAGATCTGCGTCTAAGTACTGGCGCTGGGCGCTTCGCTATGAATTGCTTCGATATCTCTTTGCTGGCTTGGAGAGATTAATTAACCATTCAAATACGTCAGCTCACGCACAAGCACACGTACGTTCGTGCTCCAACCGTACAGCTCACTTGATGTCCATGGTGGTAAAAGAAACTTTCATTTGTGGACTTAGTTTTTCTCAATGAGTTGACTATATCACACCCTTATGACGTTCTTTAGTAGTAACTCAACCTTTAGCGCCTATTTTCGACCTGTTTTAGGTCTTTGAGCGTGACGCCGAGTGATGGCGGGAGGTGACAGGTCAGGTCCTCAAAGTTGATCTGCAGTTATAGTGATGAAAACAAGAAAAAAACAAAAGGGGAGAACTAAAACCAATATTCAGAAACTAATGAAAACTAACTAAGAAGAGGACATCGTAAGTGAACGTACGTACTGTAACAGTGTCAAACAAAATGCGGACAGCCGAGCGCGTCGCCCAAGCACTAGCAACGATGTAGTGCGCTTGTTCCAGTCATGACCATTGACATGCACGCACGTCCGGTTTGACAGTAGGACGCCATTTAAAGGATGAATGTAGCACGCAAGTGTCAGACCACTTGAACGCATCTATGGACGCATCCATCTGAACATATTCACTGAGGATAAGACCGCTATCCCCACCCACCTCGTGTACCACTGCTTCCATTTCATTCGGCACCTGTATAAAGGCACGGAATGCTGCACAGGACCATGGGTGCTACAGCCTTCATGTTTTTCGGCAAAATGCGCTCAAATACTCGCTGTAAACTAAACAATTTTAGCTTCTGCATAGTTTTAGGTTTTCTTATTTCAAATATTAGCGCAACATCAGGAGCTTCAGAAAATATTGCACTGTTAGGAGAGCGAGCAGTGTTACCTAACCGGATGTGCACAGTCGTTAGTGTTTGTGACTCGATGATGCCCAATGTATCATTGCTCATGCCTGAGACATGCGCTCAGCCCTTAGCATTTTATTTTACGCGGACAGAACATGCCTCAACCAATTTCTTTGCCCTAATAGCCAATAGAAACTGTATATTAGCGGCGCCCATATTTCGCATCTGGGAGTGTCATAATGGTGTGTAATTTTGGTTCATTGAATTTGTTCGCTAAATTAAAGCCTGCGTGTTGACATAGAAATGATGAATACCTCTTTTACCGTAATATTGCATGGGAAAAAATCGAAAAAAGCAATTAAACTACTACTGTTAGCTAACCTTCTCAGCTTTCAGAGGCGCGGGCAGGCAGGCAGGCAGGTATGCATGCAGGCAGGAAAACACACACACACACACACACGCACACACACACACACACACACACACACACACACACACACACACACACACACACACACACACACACACACACACCCACACACACACACACACACACTGTATGCTTTCTATAAACGTGTAATGAAGTCATGAAGCTGCGAAGCCGGATCTCTCTGCTACTTGTAGACACATATTTTATTCACCTGCTTTTGCAAAGACGTCACATTCATTCACACACGTTGCTCTTTACTCTCTTACACTTTGCCGCATTGCGAGGCCTCAGACAATGCTGTGCCACTTGACTACTACTGTCACCAAAACGGGGACATCCGTTATTGCAAATCACAAATAAAAGATCGAAAGCGTGCCACTGGGAGAACCACCAAACTGACATTTTAACGTAAGAGGGAAATTAGGCAGCAGAGTTGAAGCCATCTACCACTTGGAGCGCACCGCAGAGTGAACACCACACGTGTAAAGCTACGGCAATGCGGAAATACAAAAATGACCAAACAGAGGCGCACGCGCTAAAGGGAACGTGACAGCGGAAAGCAGAACCCAAAGCTCGCTGTCATGTTAACGAGGCGGGCAGCACTCGTGCACATTTGCGGTTGGTTAGTTCGCTCGCCTGTATACGCGAATGTCGGGAAGCGACAGCGAGGTTTAGTTTGACGCGCGTGCGGCAAGCGCACGAGAGCGGCGGATGTCTATTCAACGAGTGCGAGCGACAAGTTATCCGTAGTGGAACCGACGCTTTGAAGACGCTTGACGGTGCGGAAGCGAAGCTCGCTGCATAATGTCAAACGCAAGGTGACTCTACGGGCCCCGCCGAAGTGGCACTCGCGCGGAGGGGAAACGCAGGGTCGAATCCAAATTAGAATTTTTCGCCGACGGTACCGACAGGCGCGGCATGGAACGCGTAAACAGCCGGGGCACGCGTCACTTTTGGCGAACGCGATAATTTAGTCTCCATGCCGAAAGAAAAAAAAACGGTGAATTCTGATGTCTGCCCAGTATCAAAAATTTGACGGAAATTGGTTGTGCCTTTCGCATGTGTGAATTCTTTTTTTTCTCGCTAAACTTCCCGGTATAGTAATGCGAGAGCTACACCCTTTCGTTCCAAATTAATAGGTGGTTATTAAATAAAAACCCACAGGCCTGGGCAGAAGGCACAGCACAGTCACAGCGAAAGCTGGAATAGCGGCCTTTCGAAACCATTTCTAAACAATTTTTGGGTAACTGCTACAAGAATACTTGCTGGGTACCCACTGCACCATTAATAATCATAACGTTCGTGCTGTAAGCTGGAATTCACTCGGTTATCCTTCGTCATGCTTCGGAGAAGCTTGGTATCCGCTAAAGACTCGCAAGAAATTTTGTATACTTTTTTTTTATGCAGGGGCTGGCGACGATGAAGAAGTATGCCTGATGTGGGTACGCACCACAGTTAATAGGTGATCAAAAACAAGCTTATGTAATGAGTCGGAACATTGGACGACCCACTCGTTGCGCAACTTGCATTGTGTGATGCTTGTTTTTTTTTCCTTTGCTGTTTTAAAGCGCTTTATTACTCATATCAAGGCGATCCCTTTCCCGAGATCAAGCCTGCCTAAGGCAAGTTTGCAAACAAGTTGGAAGTACCGGCTACGAGTGGTAGAATACTAGGCTGGCACGCATGCAGATGACCCGGGTTCCATTCGCAGTGTGTATATATTTGCTTATTTTTTGTTTTTGTTTGGTGAAGTAGTGGTTACGGACACCTGTGGCAGCGGCAGACAACTATGGAGCCGCACGTGACCCGTGTTGTGATCTCATAGCAGCTTTCGCAGTAAAAGCTCCTATGGACCTTTTTTTTTTTTTACGGGAGGAGGATTTTCATCTTTCTGGGCTGTTGCACGAGAGTACGAAAGCCAACGTCACAGCCTCGGAAGTGCATTTCTTGGGGAATCACGTGCGCTAACAAGAACCTAGAGAGGACTATGGCGGCGCCCAGAACGCCTTAAATGAAAAACAGAGCGTCAGCACGAGCAAAAAATTAGAAAGGCCCTTTTCATCACGCACAGCGTGCACAATTCCTAAATTTTGACAGGTACATCATTTTCACTTCCATTACGTTCGCGCTGTGCTCATTATTGTTCGTTCTGTTGCATTTGTGCCTAAATATTTCCACGTTACAATTAAAGCGCGACGTTTTCATGAACAGCTTGAGGTCGGTTGGTATGTAATAGATGGTTTAAAAAATAAATGCCCACTGGAGAAACTTTTTCAATGAGCTGTACTTATCGAACGTTTATTTCACTATGTTCGTATTCATAATCAGGGTAGGTATATATTTTTTTGTGAACCATAACTGTCGCTATGCGACAAACTAAAACTACGTGTTCACAAATGAGTGCGAGGCAGTAATAAACGGAAGTGAGCAAACTTAACGAACCTCAGTGGCCACTTCGCCTAACCAGGAAGGAAGCAAAGAACGCGAATATAAAGCA